CCGAGAAGTAGCAAGAGTTCAAAAACTTACGGGAAAGCCGCTCCCAGTACAAACGGGGCGATGCGTTGTCTGCTCACGTCTCTGGTGAGAGTAGAATATTCCTCTCAGTTTTTCTTCGAAGTTGACAAGGCATCACTTCGTGATACAAATTTAACAAAATCAAATTTGGGGAATGTACTTTGAAGTTAGGAATTGTACTTTCATCGGAAAGTAGCATAAAAGAATACTTTAAGTACAAGTATGTACTCAGAGAATGTATCTCAAGTAAAGTACAAGTTTCCTAAACCTAATTTAAGTAGTACTTTAAAGTACTTCCCAACACTAGCCGCAGACGTGTTCAGCAGGAAGCTACGTGCTTGTGTGTGAGTAAGTACTAACGCACAAGCACGCAAGCGCTTTTGTGAGACTGAGTAAATTGTATGTATGCTTTCTTTGTGAATAAACTTATTATTATTATTATTATTAACCCTAAAACAACACTCATACAGCGATATCTCGAACGGATCGAGCGATATTTTAGAGAAGTATCGCTCGATGTACCGCTCGTCGAAGTGAAGTGCGCACACCCCGGAGTTTTCCTGAAGATGCGTGTCTCCCCTCGGAATATTCCTGTCCCAGTGAGAGAAGAGAACTGGGTCTTTCGGGACGGCGAACAACGTGTGTTTTTCTTTTGCAGACCTGTAGCCTGTCGTGCATCCTTGAACGAAGCAGTGCTTCGCTCGCTGCTTTTTCTTTACGCCGGAGGTTGACGGGGCAACGTCCATAGTCTCCACGTGTCACCTGACCGACGGACATGCAGGAATGGTTGAAATAAATTCACACGAATGCCAAAGAACAGATTAAAGCGGGTGTGAATTCGTCGCTACCCGCCTGGCCGCACGCAAATCCCTGCGCCAGCTGTGCGCGCCTAGCATACACGCTGAGTAGAGCGCCCCTGACGGTGATTTTCCAAACCGGCCGCGGCGATTCATGGGAGAGCCGGCACGCTCGACACACCCAACTCTCTAGCCACCCTACTAAATGTCATGGGTCATTGAAGACACACGCTCAATACTAAAAATAGATGGAAAATATGATACCCGCTTTTTAGAGCTTCTAAAAACCTAAAAATATGTTGACTGAAAAAAAAAAAAGTGCACAGCCACGTGACATGCGGTAACCTTCTTCTTCTCTATATTTCTTTTTCCTCTCCAGTTCGGTTTCGGTTTAGAGAAGTTTCATTTTTTTTTTAAATACAGTCTCCGACCGATTTTTCGGACGCCGATAATTCTGACTTGTTCAATATTTCAGACCTAAAGGAGGAACCGTGACCTACCCGATAAAGAACAGTGAATATTCACGACCAATGTTTCGGACTGCTTGAAGTCTGAAAGTTTGATTTTTCGGACAAAATTGTAGCGAGCGAACAGTGGGACACACCACCGAGAAGCGGCCATTTTGGATTCTATGCTGGCAGCACATGGATTGGCTTGGTTTGGCAGCACTACTTAAATACTGCTAAGTCCTACTGCTAGGTAACGCTGAATTACTTTTTTTCTCCAGCTGTGCGTCATTTTTATCGCAATTGTTGTTTCAATTTTGCTTTGTTCATTCGCCATTGCAGTCATGGACTTGCGCCTGTCATCTCAATCTCGTCTTGGTGAGTCGTGTTTTCGGACTACACTGGCTTGGACGTCATTGCCCCATCTGTTCTTCCACCACCGGGACCTGTTGCTAAGAAGCACAAAAAGTACTCGACCATAACGCTAGAAAAAAAGGCAGCGATTCTTAAGCAAACAGAAAGTTGCCGAACGCAAACGGAAGCGTAACCTAAAACAAGGCGTGCAGGCGTAACCTGAAGCAGGCATTATTTGCGGCTTTTTTAAGCCCACTTAGAAGTAATAACTAAAGGCAAGTTTTTTAATCTGCTAATTTTTTGGACTGCTCTATTATTCGGGTGTCTTTTCAGTCCCTGCGAAATCCGAAAAATCGGTCGACGACTGTATCCATGACGCTGTAGCAAAATATTGATTGGGTAGTCATCTCAAGCCACAATAAATCGTCTGGCAAAAAATAAAAAAAAAAAAAAAAAAATATTTTGGGGGTTGTTAGTGTCTTTTTAAGCACTGCACGGAATCAAACTCGTTTCTGGCCCACAAGTGCCGCAAGTTACAAACACAGTCGTTGGACTAAAGCAAAACTTTGCTCCAGAGGCACATGCACCTTGATGCGAGACACACCTTCAAGATCATCCACACGGCGTTGATTCTTGATAGGTATTTAAGTATGCGAAAGCAGAGACAAAGCACTTTGGCATGCAAAAGGCATGCTCTTTGACCATGCCACGAAACGCGTTCGACGAGTTGTGCCTTTTCCTGCGGTGCTGCCCTTTAGCAAGAATTTTTAGGCGTTCTTAAAGGCAATTACGACTACTTACACAAGGTTTTAAGTAACTTCCTCGGCAAATGACAGCGAACGGGCAGAAAAAGTGTCTTCAGCACGCTGCCGCCCAGCCTCTGGAATGCTCCAAAAGATTGACTTCCGGTGGGCCCAAGATGGCCGATACGGAACTTCCGGTGGCCGCATTCGCGGAGCAGGGAAGCACGATTCAGCAATTGTCGTAAAGATCAGTGGATGTGAGCTAGATTTTCATTACGTGCATCAAGTCCTGCAGAAAACACCGGAAGGAGTCAAACAGCATTACCGTCCTTAACTCGTGGCTAGAACAAGCTGTCTGATATTCTTTTGACAACTCAAATATGCTACACTGGCTAAAGGTTGAACTTCTGAACTACCTAAGTGATCGGAATGAAATTTGTAGGAGAGATTTATCTTCAGATGTATGCATACTGTGCAAACTTTCAGCTCTCTAGGACAAATTTACATACCTGCATAAAAAGATCTGCCACTCTTCGTTAAGAAATCTATGATATGCTAATGAAGCTATTAAGCATCATTTTAACTGATTGAATATAAAGTGGGAGATGTGGGACTTCGGGCTATCTAGTTTTTATAACTCAAATGTAAATATTTCAGGAAAAGTGATTACCTAAAAATATGATATGCATATCAGTCCAATGTCAATTTTTGAAAACATAGTTTTTTCCCAATGAGAACTTTCACTTAAAACAAAATAAAGTAGATAGCCCAATTCCCCAGTAAATTTCAGTTCGGAAACATCTTGATTGTGATATCAGAATAATTTTACCTTCAAACAAAAGATTCCTTCGTAGGATATTTCCAGCAAAAACCGGAACTGAGAAAAACGCATTCGAACACTGCACTCCTTTACTTTGCTACTGCTTCACAATGTGCTGAAAATATTTTATATCAACGTAACTATTTGGCGCATGGTTATGAAATTTAGTGTAAGGGTGTATAATGCGTTTTTAATACCAAAAACCTCAAAAATTGAAAATTCCATTTTTTTCAAAATTTTTGAAACTTAGGCTTATGTCCCCCCTTAACGTAACCACAAGTGTGATTTGCCGATACCAGTAACATGAGCTGCACCTCAGACATTGCTAGAGTTTGGTGATTTTTTGTTGCCACACTAACTGGCCACAAACGTGAAACCTAATATTTCACGGTAGTTTCACCGCCACCGAGTGGAAATCAACAGGTGAAGTGGCGCTCACATTCAATCCGTGAGTCATACTTGACAATTTAAACCCAGGCGAATTGCAATAAAAAAAAATTAAAATGTCAATCTTAATTTTTGAAACTTCACAGTTGAAGACACATTTCTGGTCCCTTAACCTTGTGTGCTCAGTTTCTTCCATTCCTCTATACACTATACACTTATAGCATCTTTGATCAATTCACACTGAAACTGCCCTGAAACCAGGACAGTGCACAGCGCACCTCGATCGTGCAGCATGAAGTCGGTGCAACATCGAGGTAAAACTGCACCGTGCCGGTGCACCGCGGCAACCGCCACCATGCATCACCTCGCCTTTTGTTTGTTTTTTCTTGCATATGTTCATGCGCGGTGCCTGTCTGCTGTCAATTTCTTCTGGTTTTTTACTTGCAGATTTCGCGATCACACACAAGCAAACATTGTGGATGTGATTGTCGACGGGGTCACGAAGCAGGTGACAATTCCACACGTAAATCTTGCCCATAATTGTTGGTTCAAGGAAGAGTACCACCAGATAACAACCATACCTCGGTGTCATCGAGACACCTCACAACGCTTTCCACGAGGTTCATAACTTTCGGGTGCTCCATGCCATTGCAGCAATCACCAGTAATAGTAGCAATGGCAAGAAGCTCGTCGTCTTCGCTGTCAGAAGAGCTGAGGAATCCATCGAGTGCTGCTGCAAGGCATGTTTGTTTTTGCAAGGTCGGCGTCTCGATAGTGTACGTCTGCTATTTCTGCCATCTCCTCAATTCCCTCTCCTGGCCGCAACGTCTGACGAGACTGCAACCTGGCACACCGTCAATTGTCTTGGTGCGCGTTGGGGCAACGAAAAGCCGTACCAGGAGGGTGTGTTTAGTTAATCGAGGAAGTCCGGAGCGCATTGGTGCACTTGATCGAAGGCCAAAGGGCGCACCTCGGTGCGCATTGGTGCGGATGATCAAGGATGCTATTAGTAACATCTAAACTCAATATCACTTCACAGTCCCTATAAAATGCCAAGTAACGCACAACTGGATAAGAAACAGGTCAAAGAGGCAGACACTCGTCCAAGACGTGCAACTCCAAATCCTTCCGGGCCAAGCCAGACCATAACGATGCCAACGACTTTGGGACCCCAAGCAGCCGAAAAAGTCAAAACCCCGAACGCGAGTAAATATCGTCCGGCCCTCCTACAGATCGAGGCGATTGACCTTCGCTCATTCGCGGCAAAGACGACCCGCGAGTTCTCTCGACGGACGGGCACAGGGGTCGCGTGAGGAATCGCCACGATGCATCCCCGCCGTGAACCCTGTGCCAATGCTGTCAAGTACGAGGCCGGAAAGTCGTCCACGGGCACAGAGCGGCCCCGGCACGACGTCCCACGTGCAGACAGACTCACGTGTCGAGCTCCGCGATGAGGGGCCCCTTCCTGTTCTGGATGTGGTGGTCCGGCATGCTGCCCACGTACCGCCTGTTCTTCAGCACCGTGTAGCTCTCTGCACAAGGAGACGCCGAACGGTCACACGATTTCCTAGCGGCCCTCCCAGCTCCGCACCGCGAGTCGTCGGTAGCCATCAACTGGACCTTCCCGGGCAGTTGCTGTCGACGCCGAACCAATAACGAAAGAAGTTTGATACGCGAGAAAAGTTCACTTTAAAAAGTGGATGGCCATGGGAGGAAGGAAGAAAATTGGGGTTCCACTATTTTGTTTACGATGCGAACGTATAGCTGCTGGCATTTGCTGGCAGTCATAGGAAAAAACAAGAATGGGTGAGAATAAAACCAAACTTTTCTGTTTCGATAGAACAATAATAAAACGCCATCTTTATTCGCTCGATTTATCGTAAGACGACCAACCATAGTATGAGCTTTCCACCCGACATTCTAGGCTAACGTCCGCCAAACATACCGTCGCACCCAACAAGAGTTACGACAAGATGTAGCGTGCAAGGCGGTGCCACCGGTGCCACCCGCCGAACGCTTGGCATGTCGTTTTTCCTCCCTACAGAGCCTGGAATGCACCTTCGACGACGCGTTACGTGTCCCGTCCCACCCTTGCATCTAAAATAGTCTCCAAGTGACAACAAACGACGTCGCGGAAGCCGCCGGGTCGCTCCGAAACGGGCATCTACCACGTGCACCGTCGCCGCTGCGCCACCGCCCGGATCACAGCGGGCGACGGTGTGATGCTTCTTTAACGTCATTAAACAGGAATCAGGGGACTGCTTCTTAGGAAGTGGTAAAAGCGTCGGTCAAGAAGCGTTTACCGCCGGCCTTCGCTAGGTGACGTGGGAAATCTGCCACCGCGGCACCGTTATCCGGGGCGGGGACCGATATGCATCCTCCCTCGGTTTCCTACCTCTTTCACAACCGAAGAAAAGAAAGCAAATTCTCCCTAAGGGCGGACCACCGCACGAACGTGGCGGCTCCGGAGGCAACAGGTTTTTACCATGGACGCCGCGCTGACCTGGAGGGAGCGTTTGCAATTGGGAGAAGCGTCGAGCATTCGCCGCGTTTTACGTCCCCTCGCTACGAATACGACGGATTGCTGCAATGCCGGGCACGCCGCCCAAAGGAAAAAGGCTTCGTACGCGACGGCTTTTGTCGCAAAAGCTAGCGCCGTCTCTTCTTGCGGCAACGCTTCAATAAGCTCCATTCTCCAAGGCGAGCGCTCTGCGCGCTCCGGCGAAGTACTATTTGCTGAGAGGATCGCCTTTCTCGCGGAAAACTGGGGCGCAACTCCGGCCCCGGAGACCAGCGAGGAACTTTTGGGGGCATACCTCTGTCGGGGCTGGCACCATACTTGTCTTCGATACCGTCGATGGCCACCGTGATGACAAACGTCCGGAACAGCTCGTTGGACTCTATCTTTCTAAAGAAGGCGTCGTTGATGATGACGTCAAAAGCCTTGCACGGATTGCCACCTGCGCAAACGAGAATGCGCGTGAATGGCACGCCCAACAATTAAAGGACTCTGGACACGAGATTTCGTGGTATGTACAAATACCCCACACTCATAAGAGCCATTCATGAGAGCGTACCTTGACGCCACATTTATGCGTGTCTCCGCATTGTTTATTTTACTTTTCGCGATAAAAGTGGATTCGCATACCCGGGAAAGACGTCCTTTACCTGGAAGCACTTTTTCACCCAAATACCTATTCACGATCAGCCTTCCATTCTCTTTTTGGGTATCTTTTGGCAATGTCACAAACCGATTATTCAATGATTATAGAATATCAAACACACCCGAAAAAGAGGCGCAGAAAGAGCTTGTCCGCTTTTATGGCAACCACTGCAATCACGACTTGCACCCTTTTTCGTGCAACCGGAACTGCGGCTTAATGAAAACGGTTCGACAGTGAAGATGTTCTCGACTCTACACGTGCCAGTCAACGCACACTTCACGGCGTCGGGTCAGTGTCGGTCATTTGAGAAAATCCCAAGAAAAACCCATTCCCATGCTCGCATTTCCTAAAATCGGAGATCTTGGGACTTCTTACGACGAGAGAAATTCCCGGCACACCGGTGCCATCTACGAGGCGACCTTGGAACTGCAGTCATTAGAGCCAAGGTTCTCTGCTAGTTGTGAGATCAAATGTGCTACTATACTCTGTCTCAACCTATGATGAACCGGTGCCTGAATGATGGCAGGCGAAGCATTACCTCAGAAAAGCTTGCATCCGCATTGCAAAATAGTGCGCGAGAGAAATTCTGATACACAGTACAAAGAGCACTACTCTTACACATATGGTTTTCCGTTGTGATGGCCCACTTTCTTATATTGTTTAGTGAAGGTACATGGTATTCAGTTTCATAAACATGTCAACCTTGCCATAAAGTCGTTTCACCTTATCCATAACAATCCAATCCCAGAGCCAACCGACGTGGGTACGAGGCTGATGGCGTTACGGATGAAGCCCACGCAGACGAGTCAGCAGTCGAGATTTCCCCGAGTGTCGTAACTGTACCTGCTGTGGAAAGAATCTGGGAACATGGGTGTTGGTACAGGAAAAACCCAGAAAGCAGACGAAGCCACCGGGAGAACTCGATAAGCAGATGAAGAACTCGCCTCCGCATGACGCGTCTTGGCACACTAATAAGTATGAAGAAACAAATATACCACGTGGTTCCTAACAAGCTCGTGATTGCATCCGGCAGCCTGTGACTTTGGGCTTTAGTCCATCAGAGGATGAGACGGAGTATATCTAGAAATAGTGTTGTTTATAACATTGTCAAAAGTTATTCCAAATAGGGAAAAACAATGATGCACAAAAAGAAAGGGAATATACGGTAACTGCGAATGTTTCACAGTCGCCCGACAGATGGCACCTGTGCACAATCTAGTGGTATATAACCACGGTGGTAAGCGGCCTTAACGGCCAGACTGATCACCAGTTACGCCGTGCAAGGTGCGCTTGCCGAGCGGGTACCTTTGTCTAGCTCTTCGTGGGGAAGGCCCAGGCTCAGGGGTACTCGGTACGAGGTCGGGTCTTCGGACTCCAGAATCTGCATCAGCTCCTCCTCAGATATCTCTCGGGGTTCTGGCAGCTGAAATCGTTACGATTGCGGGCGTTACCTCGAGATTAAATATTATCCCAAACGTGGCCGTTAACGGGAAGTGAATATTTACAAGTTATCAAACTAAATGCTACGAAAAACCAGGAGTGGTTTGAGGAAGCTGGTGTAAAGGCAATATCTCTTATTTTCACATGGAGCGTACAAATCCATTCAACACTACGGTAGTCGTGAGTGGACGCCGTATTTTCCACAGCGCAGCATCGCATCCAAAGGCTCTCGCACATGGTGCAAGCCAGTCCTTGTTTCAAACAATGAGAGCACGTTACGCTGAAACACGATCGAAGAAAGAACCGACTTCGAGCCCCGCAAGGCAACCCCGGAGCGATTCAAAATCTCTCCAGAACGCATTTGAAGTGGTCAAACAAAAGAGAGACAATGCCTGGACTTGAGCTCCACTAAAATAATGCCCAAACAAAATGATGGAAATAATTGCCGGTCTTAACCTCGGGTGTGTGGCAGACGTTGATGAACAACTTGGAGCCGTCCGTGTCCCTAAGCTTGATGCAGAATCCGGGGCTGGGTTTGATGGGCTTGGTCTTGGTGTCTGCAGATTCGGCTGCCAGCGTCTGCACCAGGTTTTTGAATTCTGCATTGGCCTGAAGGAGAACAAGGTTTCATTTAAGTAAGGAAACCAATCTAGGATGATCGGAACTTCACAAAGAAATATAAAGGATGGGATAAAGTTTTATTATATCTGATACACTTTACGGCTCATATTCTAGAATAAAAGTAGAGTGGAGTAGCCGGTGTCGATTGTAATGCTGTCAATCTCCTTGCAACCATCATTCAAATTCTCTCTCTGTTCAGCACACAAAAAAACTAAGACAATAGACTAAGACAATAGAAAAAAATAAATGGGGCGGCGCATGTCCCATCTACTAATGGTACTTTTAGAGCGCAACTCTTAGGCGCACGTTTCCGGCTTAAGCGGCTAATTGCGCGTTGCATTATGGGACGTTTCCCATAATGACGTCACTAGGGTCACGAGTGACATCACCGCGCATTGCATTATGGGTAAATTTCCCCACTAAATTAAGCGGAAAAATTTCCCCACTAAATTAAGCGGAAAAATTTCCCCGTTAAATTTGTCAGAAAATTTTCCCCGCTAACATTAGCGGGAAAACTTCACCGCTAAATTGAGCGGGAAAAATTCCCCACTAAATTTAGCATAAAAAGTCACCCGCTAAATTTAGCAGGAACAATTCTCCGCAAAATTTAGCAGAAAAAGTTCCCTGCTAATGTTAGCGGAAAAAGTTTCCCGCTAAATTTAGCGGAAAAATTTCCCCACTAAATTTAGCAGAAAAATGTTTTAGCGAGATATTTAGGGAAAAAGTTGATGCTAAATAGGAGGGTACGGATCAGGAGAAGGGGCATACCTCCTCTCCATACTTTCCCCTCCTCAAGAGCTGCGCTCTAATTCGGCGTTACAGGGGATTGTAAACGTCTTTCATTTTTTTATTGTCCTCATCCTTCTGTGCACAGCATACTATTATTTTGAGCACGAAACAATTTGCCCAAATCGCTACTTTGATACACTAAAGATTCCAACAATTACACAAACTTGTCTTTCCCTCTTTTTCTTTTCTTTTTTCTTACAGGAAAAATTAATGTTAAGCTATCCATCGTCCCACTGCACAGGCACGTAGCCAGGATTTTGTTTCAGGGGGGGCCCACCCATGACCAAATGCTTTATGAGGGGAGGGGGGAGAGGAGGTCCCAGCAAAATGGAAGATTTCGGCCGGGGGGGGGGGCCCAAAACCCGTGCTCCCCCCCTGCCTGGCTACGTGCCTGTCACTGCAGGTATCACATTGTCAAGGAGCGTTTGTCTTAAGAAATGCAAATACAATTTTGCTGCGAGGTATTTCGTTTTGTCAAGCTCAAGAACACTAAAATAACGTAAGTTTAAAAAGAAAAAAAAACAACAAGGAAAGTAAACTGCTCTGGGACTCGGTAAAGTGGAGCAGTAGTGTCCTATGCAATCTGTTCACTATTTTTTGTTCCTTCTGTGTGTTATTATTTCCTTCAAATAGGCCCTCGTCAAGAAGCATGCACGCAGGACACCTATTGGTAAGCAATGTTGAACATTTTAGCCAAACCTTTCTCAGCGACAGGTATACATCACTTAATCAACTAATTATAAGAGATATAGGGGTGTTAGATATGATAAAAAGTGCAAGTCCCTTCTCCTTATTGTATGGGCTACTTGCCTTTCTGCAGTGCCGCGGCTCTCCTGCACCAAAAATATTACTACTATTACTATCTAGATTTTTCGCAAGGCGCCAGTCCCACAATCACTTCGCGTTCAATGAGGAAGAAACAATTTTATCGTAATGACAGTGGATTCCTTCGATCGGCAGCCTGTCGCTGAACCAAGCGACCAATTAAAACTTAGGATTGGGTTAGTTGGTTCATTGGGATAAAGAGGATTAAAAAGTGCAAAAAGCACGGACAAAAAAACATCATGCCAACCACATCTGATAAAAGCAACCCGTATACACAAACCACAGATGACAATGATTTAAACATTTGTATCAGTTCAACGTGACAACACAAAACTATCTCGAAAAGAAACTTCTTTGCCGTTTAGTAAAATCGAAGGCGTGCTGATGCAGTTGTCACCCGAGGGCTTTATAAAATATGCTTTAACTATTTCTCTCTCGGTCTTGTTATTTTTGTGAATTCTACCAGGGGATCCCACCCGCACTGCATGCAGTGTACTGCAAGGTGTCCGTTCGTTTTATTACGAACCGCTAGACAATGTTTAATTTGTTTAAGGCCAAGTCAGATGGATTGAACTTTACCTGGAAGCTTCCCATGAACAAGTGCATTCAGTTTTTAGAGCTACAGCTTACCTTTACAGATGAACACATGTGCTGGTTGTACAAACCACATTAAAAAAAGAGTGTTTTGTCTTTAGATAGCACTCATTCTAAGCTGATAAAGCAAGGAATTGAGCTCACCTGTCTTCAGGCTGCTTTGACAAAAAAACTGCCAACACGCTTTGACGACTAGCTTTGAACTGCAGGTAGAACGCTTAGGCAGGGCGGGCTACCCCGCCTGCCTGATTACCAGCGTGTGTGAAAACCTCCTACGAAAGATCAAAAGTAAAGGCAACACAGGGAACGATAAGCGAGAAAGAATTAAAAAATCAAGAATTCAAGTGATAATTTATTTACACAAGGTGTTGCATAACCCTAAAAAAATAGGAATTAAGTACAATGTCAATGTTGTTTTCTCCGCTCCATGCAAGGTGGCAAAAATTTGTCCTATGATGACAAGACAGAAACGCGTTCAGTGCTCGAAGAAGCACGTCACTCAGTACACAGCTTGTGCCTCTAATGCTATTTACGAGATTCTGCTAACGTGGGGGCGCGTGTATGTTGGACAGACTGGGCGGTGTTTTAACGAAAGGGCGCGTGAACATCGTCTAGCGGTCCGTAACAAAGCGGGGGGACACCTTGCAGTACACTGCATAATGTGCGGCTGTTAGAATTTAAAAAAGTTTACTAAAACAGCAAATAACAAGACTGAGAGGGAAATATTTGAAGCGTATTTTATGAAGTCCTCGGGTGAAAACTGAACCAGAACGCCTTCGATTTTACTAAACGACAAAGTTTTTTCTCTAGGTGGTTTTATGTAGTCACATTGCACTGATACGAATGTTTAAATCATTGTCATCTGTTGTTTGTGTATATGGGTTGCTTTTATCGGATGGCGAAACGTGGGCGTTCGCTAAAACGTCATTCGATCAAGTGAGTGCCTCCCATGGGGAAGAGTGTTTACGCATGTGTGCTGGGTGATTTGCCTTGATTAAATCACTTGAAAGTTAGCGCCAGCCCGTGTTGTATGTTTCGTCTTTGTCCATGTTTTTTGCGCTTTTTAATTCTCCATATATCAAGCAACCAAGCGCGCAGGTGGATATCTAACACACTGAGCCCGAGAATGGGGTAAAAAAGGGGTGAAGATCTGTCATGCCACAGTGGTCGCACACACTCCTCGGAAACTCAACTGAAAAATAGCTGCCATTCAACAATTATACCTGAAGGAACAGGGACTCAAACGGGGCTTCGCTGTCGTCAGGAACTTCGAGGAAAGCGTTGTTCTTGCTCATCTTATCTAGTTAGGGCATCACTTGCCCGACGTGCATTTAGTACTGCGACCAGTGGCTTGGACCAGTTTGACGCTCCTGGGCGCGGCCATCTTGAGTCGCTGCGGGTCTTCAAAAAGCTTCAAACTCATTTGCTTAATATAAGCTTAAAAACCTTCACTAAAACTTATAAAATATACATATAAATATTTTATATTTTTTTTATTAAAGCTTTAATAATAATGCAATTTTACGCTTATAAATATTTATTTTGCGCGTTACTATTTGCCGGCATTTAAACATGGCTAGCGGCTTGACAATCGCGTCGTCTGACAAAGGTCCAAACACCGTTAAAGCAATTTTCGAGAGCCCTAGGTACGGACCGGTGATGGAATCCTACGATGTAGCTCACGTAAGTCTCGAAAAATTGTCTGTCACGACTTTCGGCATTTTTTTAAAGCACGTAACTCGTACCATTGAGCTAATCCCGTGACCTCGGTACGCTGCTCTGGCCAGCCTCGCCCGCCTCTCTTATCAGCCGGCTGTCTACCGCGATAAGCGCATCCTCGTATAATCTGCATAGCGCGGGATAGCGCGATGGCCATTCTCTAATTGCATTGACTGGAAACCCGTAAGCAGAGATTTCGAGCTGGGTGTACCTTTCTTTGCCGGAGCGCATTCGCCCGCGCCTGGCCGGGGACTAACTCCGCGACTTCAGCAGGAGTGTGTCGCTTTTCTCCCTCCATTTCATTTAATGTTAATTAGCACCATCATTTCACCTGTTAACACACAGCCGAGGAGGCAGCCAGTACTTGGTTGTACTATCACGATCAATTATGAGCACGAACACCGCTCCGCGTGGCCCGTGGTACTATCAGTGCCTCCTGTCGATTGCTCTTTGAAATATAAGTGCACCATAGGGCCGAGACATATCGTCTCTAGCAGTCACCGCACCACTCTGCACTTTTAAGTCGTCTGCTTGCGAAAAACGACGAGGTCGCAAAAGAAACACAAGACGTCCTTTGTCGGTTTTTTTGCGCGCAGTTTTCCATAATGAATTCCACCAACTCGCCCAAATATCTATTATTCTAAATGATACCCTTCGCTCCTTGACACTGGAAAAGCAACCTGACACAACATAAAGTTCAGTGTCACTTCGGGTTATCATGCGATAACCAGTTCACTACTAGCAGCTCAAACACATTTGTCTTTCAGTAATCGGGTGAGACACGTCAAATGCTGAGAGTACCGGTGGACGAACGGCGACACATAGTCAATCTTTGCTTACAAGAACATTCGCAGAGGGCTATTGCAGATATGACAGGGAGGCCATTATCGACAGTAAGACGAAAAATGCTCTTCGTCATTGATGAACAGTTTCGGAGACCGTTCTTCGTTTGCAGACGATCTGGAAGTGCAGAGTGGTGCTGCGATCGCTAGAGGCGATATGTCTCGACTGCAAGGTGCGCTTAAACTACAAAGAGCAATAGACAGGGGCAGGGCCGTACCCAGAAAAAAATTTCGGGGACAACGGCGGCCATTTTGAAAGTGTCTGTTGTCTTATTTTTGCCTATGAATCATGTGCATCGGTGGCATATAATGGAGAGTTACAGCAAACCGGAGACCCGGTCCCGGTTTGGTACCCGGTAGCCGACCGGCGCCACTGCGCGTGCGCAGAGGTGGAGATTAAAATCGCCTGGCTGCCAGTGCACCGACCAGGGCCGTACCCAGAAAAAAATTTCGGGGGGGGGGGTCAGAACCCCCTATCCCCCCCCTGGTTACGGCCCTGGACAGGGGGCACTGATAGTACGGTGGGCCACGTGGAGCTGTGTTCACACTCATATTGGTCGGCTGCCTCAAGCACTCCGCTGTGTGGAAGTTGTGCCGATAAACACCTTTTCACCTTTAACACTGCCATACTTTGGCGATTGGTTTTTCCAGCTCTTAGTGGAAACTTCCCTGGCGAATTGCGTGGGTGTCTTTCGCAGAAACTCCCGGTAACGTCATAAACCACATGACCGCTTCCAGCCGCCGTCCCTGAGCTTATATGGAGCGCAAGTCTACCCGCTTCTTGTACCCCCTGTGCAAGAAGCAGTCTTGTGCACGTTACTAAAAAAAAGTAATCGATTACAATTACTATTACTCTTAGCTAAAAAGTATTCGATTAGATTACTTGATTACTCGACGGCAAAAGTAATTGGACATTACTTAAAGAAGTAATCGTTACTTTTCCGATTACTTTATTGTGTGAAGACGCATCTTTAGCGCTCATAACAATGAACTACTTCCAACCTATATTTCACATTTGCACAAGTATTCAAGAAGAAAAACTGGCTCCCTCTTCGTGGTCGTTGCACCTTCACAATGCGGACACAAGCATAGAATTCGTTTGAAGACGTTTAATGATTTGGGCGTTCGCCAGTGTGTGTGTGTGTATGGGGAGGGGGGAAGCGGAGGGGCTTCTAGATCTTAAAGCAAGGGTTGTCGCTCAAAGTTTGCGTCACTCATTTTATTATTCACATGTGGATGAGCTCGCATGTTATACAAAAGAGCAGCAGCTCCAGGATTTGAAACGGATCATGTGTAGCATCCACTAGCAGAAGAGATCGCCCCGACCACTTCTCAACTCGAAACATTGCTTGTCACAAAGACCACGTAGGGGAAATATTTCAACTGCCTTTGTTATATTTTGCATCCACTTTAGGCATTCTTCGGTTCTGGTTCTCCTACGGGCTGCGAGTATGTACCCTTAGCAGGATTTTATTTTTTATTTCTGTGTGTGTGTGCGTGAAGGGGCTAGTTTGAACGAAGGACTCACAAAGCTACATTCTGCTTCCTCAAACTTCGCCCTGAATGGCTTTTGTCACGCACTGTGGCTTCCCACTCCCAGTCCCAGCTCGAGAAAAAAAAAAAAACGGACATTTCACAGAAACTGTACATAGAAAAAGATTGACCTCGTTTCCTACAGCTCCGTAAAAATCTTTCTTTTTTTACGTTCGAAAAAAAAAAAGCAAATTTTATTTTTGTCATTTCATAAAAACCAGGCATGTACCCGGGGGGGGGGGGGGTCACATGGACAAATTGTAACGGTTACAAGTAATTTTATTCCTTCAAAAAGTAATCAGATTACTCTTGTGATTACTGCCTAATAAAAGTAATCAACTGATTACAAAATTACTCTAAAAAGTAATTGATTACAAGTAATTTGATTACTTGTAATGTGTACGGTACAAGTCTGGCAAGAATTGGGCGGGTGATGTTAAAACGCCAAACTCTTATTGGATAATTGAGAAAAAAAAAGTGGGTGGATCTCGAGGCATCTAGCATTGGGGCCTACGCACTATCCTTTTAATCAAAGCCAACCAGAGCTCAGCATCATTCTGACGTCACCGCAACACCTATGCAAGAAGTAGACGACCTGCTACTTGCATACTGTAACTAAAATTTTTGTTCGTCGAGCTGAATCATAACCACAGTGACCTACAGATGCCAGCAATCGTTTCCTGTACAATTAACCACCCTACCGACTGAGCTATGGATGGGACAAATTTCGGGTACTAGACCCTTCCCGGAATTCAGTCTGGCCACTTTGATCACTATCATCATCTGAAAAGTGGCATATGTGCTATACTAATGGCGGCCTTCTGTTTACTGATGAAGGAAGAAGTTGAAGATGCTCCTGCAGATGATTCGAGGCCTAGACATTCTAGACGTTAATGCGACGTAAAGCAGGAATTGGATGCAAGAGCTGCGTAAGCATTCATTTCTAACTTGGGCCCAGTAAATCTGTTAGTAGCGCACACTCGGCTTCAAAGCCCCTTGATGTTGTGGGTCGCCTATCAATATTGCCCAATCAGGCCGAGTTCTACTTGCTCCGAGGAAGTCTCACAGGGAGCGCTATGATGAAGAAACACTTTATCGATACTCAAGGTTCGAGTCCGAGGCGGGTGCTGCGGAAGGCCAAGGCTGCCGTGTGGTCCGGGTTACTGTTTGGAGTCGCTGCCCGGCACCGTCTCTTCCGTATGTCTCTGCCTTCGGAACTGCAGCTCACGCAGACACCACGAGCCTCGCCCCTTCTTCTTGCCTCATGGCGCCATCCCTCTACGCGCAGTGCTGCTCATTGTCCCCCACAATGTATAGAACTTTATGAAGGCGTCTATGTGGGTTGGCGTTTCATTCTGACTGGTTGCATCTTTTTCAACATCGACATTGAAAGAGGTTGAAAAAGAACTGTACAGTGAAGCGCACATTCTCGTTTACCGTTGACTTGCGAAAGTGAGGGTGCCCCATAAATAATTGCAGACCACAGGTTCATTGCCACCATTAGTACAGTAAAAAATTAAACTGCCATTTGAGTCGCCAGATGGCACTGAATTCCGGAAAGGGTCTATTGAGGGCAGTATACCTTCCATTTCTTCCTACTTTCAATAACGGTTGGGCATTTTGTGAGCCTTGAGTGTACTATCAAGTATGAATATAATGCGAACAGTGTGGCCTTTGATACACTCTGGGCAACCTAGAGGCAACTAGGAATTGATAAAAGTATGAGGGGGAAAGGGGGTGTTAGGGTGTGCGCCTACTCTGGCATGCATACCCACTCTCTCCACCCTCTGCAGTTTTATCCGCTCCTAGTCGCCTCTAGGTTGCGCAGCAGTAGGTATAGTAATACCACCTTGAAGGCCTGTGCCTTTCACCCCCAAACATCATCGCCAGTAGATTCACGCAGCGGCACCTACCTTGTGTCAGAATCGTCGACGGCACTTCTTGTAGCAACGAGCGCGACGCTAGTGTGAGGCCATGCCAAGACGGAAGCCGCTTTACGACGGTCATGGTTGGAGCTTCAGCGTGTCTTGGCGCTGGTCTGGGATCCACTAGAAATGACCTCGTTGCAGGCCTTGTCCTCTGGATAGCATAGGCAGTAGTCGACACTTTGCTGTGCATGCACGCCTTGTGGCTAGACCTCGAAGTCCGTAGTGGATACCCTAAAACGCATTGCGGATGAGACACTCGATTGGAATCAAGAGAACCGAAAAGGGCGAAAAAATTTTCGGAATTTTGTTAACCCTTTAACCACCAAGTTATTTTCGAAAAAAAAAAAAAAAAAAGTGTACGAACTTTTGCAAACAATTTTATTTGCACATATTTTTTCTTCTATCGTCCTGATTTTGCAAATACATTACTTGATTGGTTTCTGTTCAGTATTAACACAAAACTTTTAAAAGAAAAAGTTGATTTTTATGGAAGCTTCCCCTCAGTGCTTGTAAGAGTTATTCACTCCGTGCGACGCGACCGGCGCGCCGCCGCGCGGCCGTTACTGAAGGTAGGCAATGAGAGCCCCAGCGAAACGAAACCACGCCGCGTACATTGGTACACATTGAAGTCGGAGGGGTGTGGTTGCGCTGGGTTGACAGCATGAACTGCTCCACCAATAGTTATGCGTCGTATCTCGTGGGGACGAAGTTTCGCAGTTTTTTTACCTCGCCGATGTTTTGTGGGACAGCGACAACGAT